AGAACTTTAATCACTGTCCCATCAAGGTTCTTTAAAAATACTCCCTGTGGTTATAAGAGTAGTCAGATGGGATGGATCATTATTTATTTATGTCCTGGAGAAGGTGAAGCTGAAATGCTCCTTGGAGTCAAGGATTCTGAAGCTTCATCTGACATACTTTGGGCATGTTGCAAGGAGGGACTCGTCCTTGGAGAGGGACATCATGTTCGGCAGAGTGGAGGGACGGCGAAGGAGAGGAAGACCCTCAATGAGATGGATCGATTCTGTGACTGGAGTGGTAGGAATAAGTGCGTTTGAGATGGCTAGGTTGGCACAGGAAAGAACAGCATTTAGAGCTCTTGTATGAGTTGCAAACGACTCGATGACACATAACAACCACTATTACTGAAAATGTATGAGTAAGAATTGACTTGATGGTAGTGACTTTTGTTGACATAACTCTCCCTTTTGTTGATGCTTGTTTACTGCTGATTACTTCGCTTGTATGGACTTGTAGAAATTGAACTAGAGTTGATGGGTCTGACAAAGATTTTTTTTTTAAAGTAGCAATTACCCTTATTACCAACAATGTTAAGGACTTGTGGTAGCTTAGTGGCAATAAGTTGTGCCGTAATCCCAAGGGCATGTGGTTTGAATAAATTAGCTGCTCTGAGGAAGAGGAATGGACAACCTCCTTCTTTGTGATTTCTCCCCCTTGTGGGTTTCCTGGTGCCAAATGAGTTGTGATTTACCACTGAACGTTTTCCCACATTCACTGTATGTGTAAGGCTTTAGTCCAGTGTGGATTCGCTGATGGACCACAAGGTTGGAACTGACTGAAGGCTTTTCCACACACATTTATAGGGCTTCTCTCCCGTGTGGAGTCTCTCATGTACTGTTAAGAGTTGCACTCTGACTAAAGGCTTTTCCACATTCCACACATACGTTTCCCTCCAACCTGAATTGTCTTATTTGTTGCTAGGTCAGAGTTATAACTATTACCATTTTCAGGTTTCTGGTCAAACACTTCTGTGAGTATTTTAGTGTCCTTAACTGGTTTTTTGTTCAAAGTTTCTTGTCTTTGTCTTCATCTTCTGCTTGTAGCATCCCAGTGGTTTGTTTAGTCTTTTCTTTCCTTACATAGGATTTCTACATTTTTACTTCCATGGGAACACCCATGTGGAGTCTTCTTGAAAGTATGAGATTCTGATTTTTCAGGTAGGATGCTCTGTAACCAACACCTCCTCAGTCCAAATTTCACCATCTGAATTGAGAAACAAAAATTGTATCTATCACCTTCTCTCTTTTCTAAAGGAAGGAGATTTACTCAAGGACAACAAGATATGGAAGACCAAAGGGACCAAATGGAAGAGTAAACATTCATAGGTCATGGGAAGGTGAGTAAAATAAAACTATATACAGACAAAGAGAGGAATGTAAAGGCTTATAAAAAGCTGGGGGCCTGATGAACCAGAATCAGAATGAACAAGGAATCATATAAAATGCACTCCGGCTTCCTACTATCTTATATTCTTCCCCCAAAATGGAGAAAAATAACTCCTACTGGCAAGCTAAACTACAATTTGAACCTTAGCAAAAATTAACTGAAAACACGTTAGTTCAAGAATTAAAATGAAAAAAAGAAGAAAAAAAAAAAGAATTAAAATGACGGTGAGCTCTGGTGGCCTAGTGGCAAGAAGGTGTACTGCAATACCAGAGGTGCACGGTTCAAATCCACCAGATGCTCTGCTGGAGAAGGAGGGAGCAATCTTCTCCTGTACCAGTCAGATCTGATTTGACGGTACACGTAAAAATAATACAATAAAAATTTTTAAAAAATAATTAAAATGATTACTCTTCAGATAGGTTTGGGTGGGGTGGTGGTTGTTGTTGTCAACTTATGCCCCTAGTATTATTAGTGAGAAAGGCGTTTGAACTCACTAGCCACTCCATTGGAAAGATGAGCAGTCTCCCTGTAAAGATTGGCAGCCTAGAAACCTGATAGAAGGCTGCCGTGGGTCAGACTGGGCTGGATGGCAGTGCATTTGATTTTTGGAGGTTTTTTTCCCCCACTTTATTGCAAAGTGTATAATTATTTATCTATGTTTGTAACAACTGGCCTTCTAGCTGCAGACCTGAAAAGACAATTTAACAGAATCCACAGGACTATTTTTAAAAATATTAAGGAAAATTCGGTTCACCTATTTCAGGGCAAATACCAAGATTAACAAGTTTTGTTATCCTTGCCCCCAAAGCTGGATCATGGTTGCACCTTTTCCAAGACATACTTGTTTCCTCTTCTGGTAGTCCATGAAACTCAGCACTCTCCTCCACCACCACAGCTCAAATGCATTGATTCTTGATCTGTCATCCTTATTATTCACTGTCCAACTTTCAGCTGCATAGCAAGTAATTAAAAAAATATTATGATTTGGGTCGGGGGCACCTTAAGTCTTCAAATTTACATTGCTGCTTTTCAGAGCCTTGGAGAGGTCTCTGAAAGTTGACTTTCCCTAATGCAAAGCATCTTTTGATTTCTTGGCTGCTGGTGCCAAGGGTGTTGATTATGGATCCAAACCAGATGAAATAATTGACAATTTCATTCTCTTCTCCACCTATCATAATGTTGTCTACTAGACCAGGTAGGAGTATTTTTGTTTAACTCATGTTGAGAAGCAACCTATATTGAAGGCTATTATCTTTGATCCTCTGCAATAAGCATTTCAAATCCTCCTCACTTAGGTAACTCCATTTTAGAGAGTAATTTAAACAGAAAAAAACTTAAAGAGACATACTTAAAGTGACAGCCTGCATTTCAACCTAGGATATTAGTTACAGAATCCATACCTTTTCCATTTCTATACTCTCTCTTAGTATAAAACAGATATAGAAGGAAAGGTCCCAACTACACGAGCAGCAACTACACCAAAGGCAGAAGTATCCCAGGATGTGGTCCCACTACAAGTGGGGAGGGAACACTGTTCAAACTCATGTCTGATATGACTGTAGAAAAGAGAAAAAATATTCTCAGTATTTCCTGTTTCTCTTGCACTTGGCAAATTAAAGACTGCCCAAAAGATAATTATAGTAATTTAGGGTACACCTGCTGGAGGAAGAATGTCGCAGTTTCCCCGAGGCCTGATCACTCCTTGAAAAAACCTGCTTATGTCTAAGGCAACCAGACCAAAGATGAGACCAGACAATGGATCCTGATAAGGCTCTGGGCCTGATCACAAAAGCCCAAATCTAATTAACAGCCCCAAATTCGGAGGAAAATATCGTCTTCCCTAGTCTTCCCTAAAACCCTATACAAAGAACCCACCCTTGCACTATTTTTACCTCCGTGCCGGTGGTCACTTGGCGTCCCTCTCAGACTACGCAATAAAGGCCTGTTCGTGTCTTGAGACCAGCTTCTTTCTTTCTCTCTCGCTCTCGCCCTCAACTCTGTTTACTATCTAACACCTTTCATCTTGAATATACAATGGCAATTACAAGTAGAGAGGTCTAGCTGAAAAGAAAAACAAATTGGAGAACTGCCCCTGCTCAACCATCACCACTATGATTTAGAATTATCCAGGAAGGCTGGAGCTGGGATTTTCCACCAACTCTGCTATGAACATCAAAGGTATGTCTTCTCTGCAGTAATCTCTGAACTCTGCTCTTAACCTGTTTCTTTAGGAAGCTAGTTAAGTTTGGTGAGCTGGTTTAAAGCTGGTGTCAGTGTGCAGGGAAAAGTAATTATCAGTGGGACATGACTATCCATCCAGCAATTTACAAACAATATATGCATGCCCTCTCTCTCTCTCTCTCACACACACACATACACACACTACTTGAGGCCAAAGCAGTAAGAGTGACTTTTTTTAGACAGAAGCTCTTGGTATGGGATGCCCTATGAAGAGATGCCATTTCCATCTTTAGAAGCTTGTAGTCAATGGGATGGTGGTGGGGAAGGCTGTGCCACTTTAATAAGAGTTGATTATTTAAAAAATATTTAACAACTGTTGTTAAGTACTGTCGAGTCATAGATGACTCATAGCTACCCTAAGAATGAAAGACTTGAACACTTGTATAACTTTCATTGTTTCTCTAAGTTCATAGAGTTTCTGGAGGCAAGCTATTTTGGAAGTGGATGCCACTCTTGCTTCCAAGCCTGTTTTAATCTGGGAGGTCCACCATAGGTAACCATTATCACATCTGACACTAGTATGTGCAAATTTTTACCTAGATGTAATGAATACAATACCCAACCTCAAAGAGTCTACAGTACATTGGTATGAAAATATGCACAAATGCATTAAATTGAGAATCATTTACAAGGCAATTTTACAATAGTCACACACTGTAGCACCAATTAACTGAAAGCACTGAGGTTAAAGAAATAGTTTAAAGAGGAGTGAAAAGGCATTTAAAATAGAATGTCTTTCAGAAATGAGTTGATTTTGAAGGTTGTGAGCAGCACAGATTTACAAACAGAAAGAAACAAAGGTCTTACAGGCATGGAAAGTGATTAAAGCAGAAGTTTAAAAAGCAGATGGGAAGAAACACAGCTAAGAAATAGGAAAGAATGAATTAAGGCTCAGGGTGAGAACTTACGTAAATGATGAAACAGAGAAGATGGAAGAGAGTTAGAATCTGTCCTTGCCAAATACACAATCTGATTATGGGATATGCTACTGAGAAATGAAATAGATTTTAAAGGGGTTTAAAAAAAATCTCCAAGTGGCAATCTCTTCCTGTACCAGTCAGATACATTTTGACAGTACACACACAAAACAGTAAAATAAAATTAAAAAATCTATAAGCAAATGAACTGTGAGGTCCTTTAATTTCCCAGGAGCAGGGATGAATTAGACTAATTACTCCCATTCTCTCACCTCATCACTAAGGTGACCCAATGGAAACTATGCAGAGAAAGGCTCATTTATAATTAGTAGTTCCATGGAGACGAAGCATTCTTCTCAAAAGGTCTGCTTAAGTCCAATCAAAGCACCTTGCTCTCTGCCTTGGAGAGCTAAGCTTTATGAAACTGACTGAATCAGAGCAGAGTGCTTGTCTCCCGTGTGAGTTCGCTGGTGATGGTTAAAAGTGGAGCGCTGGCTGAAGGCTTTGCCACACTCATGGCATTCGTAGGGCTTCTCTCCAGTGTGAACCCTCTGGTGCACAATGAGCTGTGAGCTGTCACTGAAGGCTTTACCACAGTTGTTGCATTTATAGGGCTTCTCCCCCGTGTGGGTTCTCTGATGTACCATAAGGCTCGAGCTGTAACTGAAGACTTTGCCACACTCGTTACACCCGTAGGGCTTCTCACCTGTGTGAATTCTCTGGTGGATAATGAGGTGTGAGTTCTGATTGAAGGATTTTCCACACTCTTTGCATCTGTAGGGCTTCTCCCCTGTGTGAAGCCTCTGATGTCGAATAAGGCATTTACTCAGGCTGAATGCCTTACCGCACTCACCACATTCAAAAGGTTTTTCTCCAGTATGCATCCGCTTGTGGTCAACCAGCTGAGAGTTCTGACTGAAGGCTTTCCCACATGCACTGCATTTATATGGCTTTTCCCCAGTGTGGAGGCTCTGATGTCGGACAAGACTTTTACTCCGGCTGAAGGCCCTGCCACATTCATTGCACTCATAAGGCTTGTCCCCAGTGTGGATTCTTTGATGATCAGTGAGACTCCCGACTGAAAAGAAGGCTTTCCCACACTTATCACACTTATAAGGTTTCTCCCCCATGTGAAGGATCAGATGTGGACCAAGACTTGTGCTCTGAATGAAGGGCTCCCCACACTTGTTAAGTTCGTGAGGTTTCTCCCCAGCCTGCCTTCTCTGGTGGTCAGTGAGCTGGGGGCTGTGAGTGAAGGCTTCAGCACACTCATTACATTTATATGGTTTCTCCCAGATATGGAGTCTCTGATGTTGGAGGACATGGGAGCTATGCTGATGGGGTTTCCCACATTTACTGCATTCACAGGGCTTCTCCCCTGTATGGATTCTGAGATGAACAATGAGCTGAGAAATATGCCTAAAGGTCTTTGCACATACATTACACTCATAGGGCTTCTCTCCTGTGTGGATTCTCTGACGGCCAATGAGGTGTGAGCTTTGATGGAAAGCTCTGCCACATTCATCAGACTTACAGAATTTCTGTCCCTTTAGAACTCCTTGACGTTCAGCAGGATTGGAGGACTGACTAGCATGTTCCCCAAGTTCCCTATAGTCCTCACATCTGTCTTTTGTGGGGCATTTTTTATCATTATTTTTTATTTCTAGGAAGCTGCTTTGTAATCTACTCCCTTCTCCATTGAAGGGCTGCGCTTCTGGAGTCACGAAAGCGTCCTCACCGGCGTCTCCAGCCTCTGGTGCCCCACCATCCAGCCCCTGGAGTCCTGCTGCTGTCCCATCAGATGACTGTGGTTCTTCTGGACATTCTTGCTTTGGAGTCAACTCTGAACTCTCCATTCTGTTCTGACCTGGTATGAAAAAGAAGAACACAACTTTTACTCATTTCTTGTCCTGTTGAGGAGACAGACTCTAGAGGCCTATGTGAGGGAAAGAAAACTTTATCAGTGAGAACTGAGGCGATACATTGAAAACATGAGAGAAAATAGCTTTTCTTGACAGAAAAATCAAAGAGGTGGAGATTGTCCATGGAGGAAGGTGGAAGAATTGGTGGTGGATATTGAGCTAATAGTGTCAACTTAGAGAACAAGTGGTGAGGCAAGAGACCAGATTATAGAATATGAGCTTACAAAAGTCATTTAAATGCTACATCTCTCTCCACAACGTCAGAATCATTCTTACATGATTAATACGATGGGATGGAAGGGAGAGGGGAGTGAGAATTAATAACTAATAAAAATTAGTAATTAGGGAAAGAATGCCAATGTATAATAAGGGGCTTATCAGACATTATAATTAACTAATTACATTAATAAACTATTATTAGTTATAAAAGAAAACATATATGAATGAAAAACCAGTATGATTTTTACATTTTCACGCAGATAAAAAAATAACAGTAAAAATAAATTTAACAATAAATGCCACACATCTCCACAGTAAAGTGATGAACTCTAGTCTTTTCCAGTCAAGGTACTAAATGGTTCCATGGTTCTCAAAAAAGATGTTTCGGAAAGAGAGTGGTTGCAAATACGTCCTTAAATCAGAGATGTGAATGGGTGATTGTAAAGATGAAAGTTGATGGGAGAACCATACTATGAAAGTGTGATCAAGAAAAAGTATACAAAAAGGCACTGCAATCCCAGAGGTATGCAGTTAGAATCCACCAAATGCTCTGCTCGAGAAGGAGGGTCAATATCCTCCTGTACCAATCAGATCCGACCTGACAGTACACACACACACACACATACAAATAATAAAAATTTTTAAAAAGTATACAAGAAGTGGTGTGATAGGGCAGAAATAAGATTTGGAGAAGCTGTAGGTTCAAAAAACAAGAAAGGGCAAACGCTGGGAAACAGTGTTGAAAAGAGTCAGATTGTAAAATTAGGGCTCTCCTAGCCTTTAAGCATTGGACTAATAGGCCAGTATTGTATTGTACTCTTAAAACATTTTAAAAAGCACCAATGACTTAAAATACAATAAAAATTTATCTTTGGAATCTTGAATCTCTACAATGATAAGGAAACTGAACATCTGCTTTTGAACTCTGGAGGTCAAATATGAAAGTTAGGAGAAGGCAGCATAATCAAAGGTTAATCATGGTTAAACATGAAAATGTTGTTCTTATCCCATTCTTAATCATGCTATTTTACTATATGGAAAGTTGGAGATATTTGACAGAATTCTAAGCCCATGCTCCTCAAAGCTGGCTACTGTACAAAACCTGTCAATCACAGGACCCACCCTATAAAGAGACTCCGACAGGAAAATGCTCTGCGCCCATCTTTGCGGAAGGAAGAACTAGGCAATCTAGCTTTGTAACAAGTAAAGTAACTGTGCTCATCCCAGGATGGATCATGGGTAATTGAGCTAGGGGAAGATAGCAGCCTATCAGCAGCCTCTGCTGTGGCCTGGGCCAAAGGTCCACCCAAAGGGACCAAATATGTTATGACTGAGCCAACCAGAGTGCTTCTCTAGAAAATTCTGACCTAGAAATAAGTTTTTTTAAGAAGATAGTTAAGATCAAAAGCTGAAGATCAAATGATGCATGAAGCAAGGAAAGTTTACTAAGGACCCCTTAGTAGAAATTATGAAGAGAACAGACACTGTAATTCAGGTGGAACTACAAAGTGAACAAGACATTCACAGTGAAGAAACTGGGTAGCAATGAAAAGAGAAGGTAAGAAAACGGACTCCAGGGGCAGCTGAATTACATTCACAGTGGAACACTGGCATAAAGGAGTGTATTTGCTTGTTGGTTTGTGGTTTTTGGTTTGTTTTTGTTTTTTTTTTGCTGCTAAGGCTCCTCCTCTGCTGTGGAAAAGGATCATTTTCTTTCTTTCTTTTTTTTTTTAAATTGTTTTTTAATTTTACTATTTTTGTGTGTGTGTACCATCAAATCAGATCTGACTGGTACAGGAGGAGACTGCCCCTCCTTCTCCAACAACAGAGCATCTGGTGGATTTGAACTGCATGCCTCTAGGATTGCAGTTCAGCTTCTTGCCACTTGGCCACCAGAGCTCCCTGGAATAATGATCATTTTCCGTGAGGTCCAACTGACACCACGTGTGGTCTAGCTGAATAGTTTGTACTGGATTTCCATTCCTGGAAGCTTTATAAACCCCCAGCTGGTTATTTAATATAACTTGTGTGGAATTCTTCCTTACAACTGAAAAAATAAAAAAAGAAAAGAAAGAAAAAATCCAACTAAACCTTCCTCAGTCGATCAATAGTAATGAAGCAAAGGTAAATACCAATTAATTGTTAAAGTGGGACGACAGATCACTCACTATAGAAAGTTCATTATACTCTTTGCTTTGCTTTTATTTAGACTTTTCAAATCAAGAAGCTAGAAGAAAAAATAATCCAACAAAGAGAGCATAAAGAATGCAGATTCCAAGTGGGCACAGGATCATTACCTGATGACACACCGTGATAATGCTCCAGGGTCGTGTTCCAGGAGAGGGCTCTCTTACTGAGTGCTGGACCTTCCCACTTCTTCTGATTATAGTCCACAGACAGGTCCTCATACACCGCACATTTCTGGAATGACAAGCTTCCAATACTCAGGAACATTCTCAATGTAAAGGGCAGGTAGAGGGCAAAGGAAGTGAGGGGGAGGTGGGTGGAAATGGGAGATATCTAAAAGGACAAGTTCAGGGCAAGATGAGTCCATTAACCAAGCTGCGATCAAGCCTAAGACGCAATGAGCAGGGGAGCCTGAGAATAGGACGAGGCTTTGGGGATCAGACGGAGCCATTCTGGGCCCTAGAGATGGAGATCAAGGACAGAAAGAGTCAGGCTCACCTGGGGCCTAACAATCTGAAGCACAGTTGGCACTGGCTGGTCACCTGAGTTTCCCACGTGGGGAAGGGCAGGAGCTGAGGAAGCAAGTGGAGCTGAGGGAAGAAAAGAGATACAGATGGAACGAGTCCAGCCTTTGTCCCCAAATATCTCTAACTTCAAAGAGTGGATTCAAGAGAATACCAGCAGTTTCCTATACACCTTAACCTTTCTTCCAAAGGCTTTAACATGAACAGTAAATATCTTGTGAATATTCCCCAGGGAGCTAGACCTATCCACCCTTCCCAGACCTCATCTCTTTGATGTTTTTCAGGGACCCCGTATATACATTTCTGACGACATTCTTTTTTCCGTGGCTTCCCAAGGCCATGTAAACCTGATTTCTCCCTTGTATCTCTGGTCCCTCATCTCGTTCTTGCTCTCTCACTATGGATACTCTTTAAAGCTCACACCTCAGTATTTCCTTTTCCTTCCTGTCACGATCTCAGGACTTTCCTTACTTAATGCTGTTATCACAAGTGCCACCTCTCCTCAAGATGGCCAATCTTACTGGGCATTTCACTGGAGAGGGGGAGGTTCTATACCACCTTACACTCAATGTCTAAAATACATGTTCTTAACATTTTCTTTTCCTGACTCCCCCAAGTTCTGTCAATAATTCGAGACCTAAGTCCCCCCTCTCCCTTCCTTAATCCCACATCTCATGGATTCTTCCTTCACAGTGTCACTTACATCTCTCCCTTTCCCTTCCACTGACTTAGTTCAGGCAGTAACGGCCTCTCCTCTATTCCACGGTACTAACCTCCTACCCAGCCTCCCTGCATTGTGGCTGAGACAGAACTGACTCGGAGCTGCTCCTCCAGGTTTCTGAGGCTATAAACTGCATGGGAGGAGCTAGCTCAGCTTTCTGCCATGGAGAAGCCGGGAGATTCAAGCTTCCAGCGAGATGCAATCTTTGGTTAGCAGTGCAACTCCCTACGGGCTCTGCCCCCAGGGCTCACGTCCCTTCCCTGCCACTGTTGTGGTTATGTATCATCGAGTCAGAACCGACCCACAGCTGACCCTCCAGCAGGTTTTCAGAGGCAGTAAGTCACACCAAAGGAGACGGCACATCTTTCTCCCCGACAGGAGCTGGTGGATTCAAACTGTGTACCTTTGTGCTGCCAGCACAATTCCTTACCACTAAGCCACCAGAGCTCCCTATTCCCTTCTACTCGTCCCTGTAATAAATGGTTTGGTGGGGGAGGGAAGGGGAGAAAATGTGCAACAATGAATAAAAGCACAATTTTTTAAAAAAAGTGGTATGGCGATAGTGTTTTCACTATATTGTTCTAACTTGGTAAGGGAGAAGAGTCATTATCAGCACCAACAACCTAAGGCTGGTTTCTATGAAGCGGAGGTCAGACACACTGCCTCTCTCCAATCTTTTTACCAATTCTGACACTAGCAGTCGCTTCTATGTCCCTCTCTGTTGGTTTTAATAATTAGGTGCAATAACCACAAAGAATACTCACAACTGTGGAGTTTATTAGGAAGCAACGGTGGCCTAGTGGCAAGATGCTGTGCTGCAAGCCCAAAGGCACCCAGTTCGAAACCACTAGCGGCTCCACAGGAGGGTGAGCAATCTCTTCCCATGTGATTTACTGCCTCTGAAAACCCACCAGAGGGTCAGCTATGGGTCAGTTCCAACTAGACGATACACACAACATGGAGTTTATTAAGGAAGTAATAGGTTACAATGTAGGTTATAGTTCTTTGGTTAGAATAGCCCCTGGCTCTGCTCCCAGACATGTCTCTCCCTGGCTCTTGCCTTCTCAGGCCTCTTGAGCCAACTCAACCTATGCACTGCTCAAGTACTTGTTATAAAGCTCTTTAGTGCTACTGATCACCCAACTCCACCAACAAGCCTCCTGCCAGAGATGGTCTGTTGTCCCAATACATGGTCCTTTGGGACTAGTTCCTCCAAGTGCCCAGAGACACTGCCTGCAAGCGTCCTGCCTGAAGGTGCTGAAGGGTCAAGGAGGTTCTCAGTGTAAGGATTAGGGTCCAAAAGATGTGCGTTAATCCTCGCTCTTCTTTCTTGATGGTCATTATCCTAATCCCTCCACCTGGGCCCATCCCAGTGATCCCCTCTATGAATAAACAGGCGCTTTTCCATTTGTGGTTAATGCTATTAAAACCCCACCCTCCCATAAATAAGCATGTATCCTTTCCCCGCCTACAAACCCTTTAAAAGAATCACCTCCTCCTTCCTTCTATGCTTCATGGACCAGTGCTACCTTATTCCACAGGTATTCCTTTACAAAGCATTTCCCAAATAACCCTCTTTCTTTGCTTACATAGAAAAGCCTACCCTCCTCTTTTACTACTCTTACTTAACAGAAGAACACAAATTTAAAGAGTGCACAGGAGACCTTTTCTTGGCAACTACCTTTAGGGACTGGTCTGGGTACAAAAGGAGGGCAAAACTGATTCTCTTTTGTTAAGGTTCTGTTGTTTGTTATGTGCTTTCAAGCTGGAACTGACTCATAGCTGAGCCTCCAGGGAGTTTTCAGAGGCTAACATACATTGGACATGTTGTGAGGAGGGACCGGTCCTTGGAGAGGGACATCATGCTTGGTAGGGTGAAGGGACAGCGCAGGAGAGGAAGGCCCTCTCTGAGGTGGATTGATTCAGTGACTGGGGTAATCGGGATGGGTGTGTCGGAGACAGTGTGATCAGCACAGGACAGAGCAGAGTTTAGGGCTGTCACACATAGGGTCGCTATGAGTTGCAAGCGACTCGACTGCACATAAAAACAACAAATAAATGGCACAGGAAGAGACTGCCTATCTTTCTCGCTCAGAGCAGCTGGTGGATTCAAACCATCTGCTTTTGGGTTGGCAGCACGAATCCTTAACACGAGGCGACCAGAGCTTCCTGACAGGGTTCTACATACCTTATTTGAATGGAGCCACTCTCAAAGAGTGCCATGTATCTATGTACATCATTAACAAATTGTACTTTATGTATCTTTATGTATATATTATGATATCCACCAAGGGGACTGGCAGGCCACAAGCACTTTAACTTGTGTAATGCCACCCAATCAATGGTGAAAGAAGTCATATAGAAGCAATCTATTATATTGTTATCTCCCTCCTCACTCAATGCAATCTTCCTAAAATGCTATTTCTAACTCATTATGCTCTAACCTCTAAAATTGTCCTGGCTTCAACTCCAAGGCCGTGAATAAGTAGGATTCATGCTCTCAAAGCTGTAGCTCTTTCCACCAACCCACCACCCCCTTGTTATGTACAAATGAATTGGATCCGACCGGCACAGGAAGAAGTTGCCCCTCCTTCTCTAGTGGCGCATCTGGTGGATTCGAGCTGCACACCTTTGGGACTGCAGTGCAGCTTCTTGTCATTAGGCACCAGAGCTTCTGCCATAGCTCTTCTTGATACCACTTAACAATGGGTCAGAGTCTCCCACTCGTTATCTTCTGCTCCTGGGATGCTTTCCAATTTTCTCTCCCTTCAAAATCATGCCCAATTCTTTGCTCCCCAATCCTACTGCTAATTCTCCATGAAGCACCTCCTATCGACTCCACCCCATAATGATCACGCTCACCTTTTATAATGCCCAATTGCTCATTTGTGATTGGAGGATGATCTCATTATTCTTACCTAGAGACAATTATCATTCATATGAGTTTGCCTGCTCTTACACACAGTTCAACTCATTCATCCAACTAAAGAAAAGATCTTTAACAGAGCCGTGTACTGGATTCCTCCACTGCCCAAATGTGCCTTTTCCATGACATGTGCACAACAAAACCTTTGTCAACACATGAACGACTGGTGAATAAGCAGAAAGAATGGACAAGGCCACCAATGAGGGAGGACAAGATAGTGAGGAATTTTAACCAGGTTAAGAGATTAAGGCACAAAGACATCAGAGAGAAAGAAAGAAATGTGGCTTGAAGTCAAGCTGGGAAGGCGAGTACCAGTGTGTCCATTGGGCACATGCTGTGCCATGGTGTCATGGGGAGGCTCCTGGCGGGTTCCGGGAGCTGAGGTCCCACTGCAGGGTGAAGCAGGAAGAGATTTCTCCACTGCACCCAGAGCTGCTGTCTCATCCAAAGGCATCTTCTGCTCCTCTGCACACGCTGGAACCTAGAGACAAGAAAAAAACAATAAGGTTTAAGGGAGCTCTGGTGGCCTAGTGGCAAGAAGCTACATTGGAATCCCAGAGGTATGCGGTTTGAATCCACCAGATGCTCTGCTGGAGAAAGAGGGGCAATCTCCTCCTGTACTGTCAGATCTGATTTGATGGTACAAACACAATTAGGTTTAAGAGGCATCAAACCCCAAACTTCCAAGATGTCAGGGAAAAGATAAAAAGCGTGTCCTTCTGGAAGAAAAGGTGGTCACAGAAAACTAAAGCTTTCAATCCTAACTGGCAGACCTCTGCTGATCTTCAGTGGGGGTTTGAAGGGCAGACTCTAAAACCAACACCAGTTGGTATGAGGTCTTCAGACAAATTTGTTTACCGAAAACCATATACAGAAGGAAGTCAAGACAGTAATTTGGTAGACTCTATAAGCCCTTGACCAACAAGAAACCAATCAGAATTGCTGAGGACATAGAGTAACGTATAAACTCCAAAGACTACATGTACTGGCAAAAAGTCAATTCTGACTCATGGTGGTGATGTATTAGATTTCCAATGCTGTAAATCTTTATGGGAGGAGGCTGCCCATCTTTCTGCTGTGGAGTGGCAGGTAGATTTGAGGACACATCATGCACTGTGCCAATAGGGCTCATTTGAGAAGCATACACATGGAGAAATAGTTGTATGAACTTCTTAGCCATACCAAACACCTGGAAGGGTTGAGTCAGTGGGGTAGAGGATTTAAGATCACAGACTCAGGAGACATCTAGGCCAACTGGTATAACACAGTCCACAAAGACAGTGAGGAAGGATGACAGAAGATGAACTGATGCCTTTGAACTGTGGTGCTGGACAGCCCATAAATTGCTGAATGAGCAGATACATCTTGAAGAAGGTGCAGCCAGAGTGCTCTTTGGAGGTAAAGATAATAAAGCTTCATCTCTCACATTCTCAGCATGTTGTTAGGAGAGGTTATACCCTGGAGAGGGACATCATGCTTGCAAAGACGGAGGGTTGGTGAAAGAGAAGAAGACCCTCAACCAGGTGGACTGACACAGTGACTGCGGCAATGGGCTTGAGTGTGTCAGAGATTAGGAAGGTGGGACATGATAGTACAGGGTTCAGATCTGTTGTTCACAGGATTATATACAACTCGACGGCACTGAACAAGAAGTCCACAAAGACTGCTCTACACACCACTTTGGTGAGTATTGACTGGTCTTAAAAAGTTCGTGAGCTCTTTCACCAAGGACCCACCAATATGGGCCGTGTTCGCACCAAAACCGTGAAGAAGGTGGCCTGGGTCATCACTGAGAAATAATACACGTGCCTGGGTAATGACTTCCACACAAACAAGCGCGTGTGCGAGGAGATTGCCATTATTCCCAGCAAGAAGGTCCGAAACAAGATAGCAGGCTATGTCACACATCTGATGAAACAGATTCATAGAGGGCCTTTGAGAGGCATCTCCATGAAGCTGCAGGAGGAGGAGAGAGAAAGGAGAGATAATTATGTACCAGAGGTTTCAGCCCTGGATCAGGAGATCACTGAAGTAGATCCTGATACTAAGGAAATGTTGAAGCTCTTGGACTTTGGCAGTCTGTCCAACCTCCAGGTCACTCAGCCCACAGCTGGGATGAATTTCAAAACACCATGTGGAGCTGTTTGAGTCTGTCTGCTATGTTGTAATATTTTCAATAAAATTGGGCGCGTGCGCGCGCGCGCACACACACACACACAAAAAGTTTGTGAGGGGCCACCTAGGGCGTAACTACTGGTCTCTTTCTATTCAAAGGAAAGAGTCGTGAAGAAAATAAAATACTCAAGGAAATGATTAGTCAAGACAGCATGGTACTGGTACAATGACAGACACATAAATCAATGGAATCGAATTGAGAATCCAGAGATCAACCCATCTATCTATGGTCAA